GATGGGGGGCTGCTTTGCAAAGTCTTGAAACAAACTCGCAAGACAAACGCCACCTTCGCTTCGAGCCTTTTCTCAGAGAGCGCAGGTGGGCCCGCGCGTGAACCGTGCAGCTGTTGACGACGACGACGACGATGACGATGACGACGACGACGACGACGACGACGACGACGACGACCACAACCACAAAAAAAAAAGAAGTAATTCGAAGCCCAGGGGAGGGGGAGGCCTGGGTAGGCCGAGGAGGCAGGAGGCCCGTGCACGACCGGGAGGCAGGTGAGGGGCGTTAGGGACGCCAAGGCAGGAACGGTGGAAACAAAAAGCCCATCCAAAACACCGGGCATGGGGCCAGAGCCAAAGAAAGTCACAACGGACGCCGAGAGCCAAGGTCGATGAGGAGAAGGGTTTTTTGATATATATATATATATATGTATACATATATATATATATATTTCTGTACAACCCCGTGAATCAACAATCTCATCACTTCCAAAATCACGCGCGCGCCAAACGCAAAGCAATTACCTTCGACAGCCGCGCTGGTAAGAAAAAATATCTTACGGTCGTAAATTTGCGGGTCGGCCCAGAAGAAGAGAAGACGGGGAAGAAGAAACAACAGGGAGAGGATGAGGAGGAGGAGGAAGAGGAGGAGGAGGAGGAGGAAGAGGAGGAGGAGGAGGAGGAGGAGGAGGTGGAGAAGGAGGAGGAGGAGGAAGAGGAGTAGCAAGGAAATAACGAAGAGGAGGAGGAAGCGGAAGAGGAAGAGGAGGACAGGGACGAGGAGGAAGAGGAGGAAAAGGAGGAGGAGGAGGAGGAGGAGAAGGAGGAGGAAAAGGAAAGCAGGGGGGGGCCAGACCGGCCGGGCGGACAGGCGAACAGGGCAGAGAGAGCCAGAAGAGGCCAAGAGAAGCAGAAGAGGCCACGGCTACAAAGGAAGGAAGGGCCAGAGGACACCACGACGACGCACGTCGGAAATCAAAAGAAACCGAAGCTCTGGGGAAGGCGTGCGCCGGGGGAGGTCCAAGGGAGGCGAGGGAGGCCAGGGGGCCAAGAAAACCACAACACGAGGCGACGACGACGCCGAGAATAAAGCAATCCGAAGCCCTGGTGGGCCAGAGAGGCTGAGGGGGAGGCCAAGCGAGTCCAGGAGGGGGGGCAGAGAGATCACGAGAACACCATACGTCACCACGACGTCGTCAAAATAAATCCGATACCCTGGGGAAACTAGGGCCAGGATAAACCAATAAGGCTTATTGTTGTATGTATTTTGGTTCAATGTCTACTTATCTGTGGCTATATAACTGAATTGCGCATCTCGAAGTATCTACTTCTATACACACATATAAAAACATACATACATATCGACAAACAGTAAGGACAACACACAGACAGACATCTGCATATATATATATATGTATATATGTATATATATATATATATATATATATATTTGTATATGTATATGTATATATATGTATATATACATATATATACGCATACATGAGCAAGACTGTATAGGCTTATCACATATATATATATATGCAAATTGCAAACTGCATATTCTATATAGCAGTATTATCTTGGCAATTATTGGCAGAATGTGCCTCGAGACAGGTTCCGTGCGGATCTGGTACCTCATTGTCTCTCGCAACCTTTGATCTCACCATTCTCTATGCGATTATCCAGCAAGTTTTACTCCAAAGCACGCGGCCAAACTCGAGTGTCGTATCCATCTTATTTCGCACCTTCCTGTCTGTGTTTTTGCTACTGAAGCGTTGCTTGATTATTCTTCTCCCTTCCCTTCCCTTTCGCAGTGCACCGTTGTTGCCAGGCGAGACAAACCTTGTCTCGGCGCTGAACTTTTCATGCTTTTGCTCAATAAAGTATGTTAATGTGTATTCTCCGCTTGAGAATTCGAAATTAGTATCTCTCCAGAGGGCGCGTTTTTTAGAGACAGGTGTATTAACACTGTTTTATGAGAAAGTTCGTAAACCTACACGTCAAAGGCACTTGTTGGATCTAGTTCTCGCGGACATGCCAGAGTTGGTGTCTGCAGACGTTTTAGCCCAAATCCCAAATCACAGTGCTGTCTTCGCCTTGTTCTTCCGCCCCTGGCAGAAGAAAATCTTTCTAGGGCAACTTGAAATTATAAATGTGCCAACTGGAGTGCCATGTAAACGTCCATTCGTAGTTACGATTGGAATTGGATCGAAACTTTCACCGATTTTCTATTGGTTGCGCGAGTTTGCAGCGATGGTCTATTATTCCCTTACGCCGCCGCCGTCGTCGTCGTCGTCGTCGTCGTCGTCGTCGTCGTCGTCGTCGTCGTCGTCATCGTCGTCGTCGTCATCGTCGTCGTCGTCGTCGCGTGGTTGTGTCGTCGTATCGCTGCGGCTTGCCTCCCCCCGTGCCCTGGTCTCCCTGGGCTCCCTGGTGGCCCTGGCCTCCCCGGTCCTCCCCTGGCGCTCCTTGCCAAGGCCCCCTTGGCAGGGCTCGCTTCGATTCCTCCGATTCGATTGTCGATTCGATTCGATTCGATTCAACTTGTGATTCGATGGATTCCGATTCCGATTCGATTCGACTTGGGATTCCGATTTGGCTTACGATTCGTCTTTGGAGGCCTACCAGACTGCCGATTTCCGCTGGTTCAACCTGCTGGCGCTGAGTACTATCCGTCCCAGTGTTTGCAGTGTAGCCAAAGTTTAATGGCCGCCCACAATGATTTTATCACGCGCACGCGCGCCCAGCTTTCGCATCAGCGGCGTGGAAGTAAAAAGTGGTGGCGGATTGCAGAGCACATTTTAAGCAAGAAGGGTAAGACGGTCAGCTCTCCTTTAAAGAGGAACGACGGGAGTTGGGCTGTTTTCTCTTTAGATAAAGCAAGCTTGTTTGCTAGGTCTTCTAGTGATAAGTGGAACTTGCCAGCCGTAGAGCAGAATGCCTTCTCTGATCTATCCTGGACTATGGCTCCTCCTGGCTCGACCTCCTTCTTCCGCATCCCGGTCCGTCCTGCGTGCTTTGTTTTAGCTGCCCTCAGAGCGGACAGCGGCACGGGGCCGGACGAAGTCCTGACACGTGTTTTGAAAGCCTGTGCTCCAGAGCTTTCCTTACCCATTGCTTTACTTGCCCCGTGGAACTGTCATTGCCCAGACAGTTGCATGGCAACTAGAGCAGTCAACTTTGAAGGGGTCGTATGTGCAGACGATCTCAATGCATGGAGGGCGCTGCCTGCGACAATTTCGCACGAGGAAGCGTATTCCCAGTTGCGTTCTTGCCAGTCGTCCTTGCATGAATGGGGCCGCGCTAACCGGGTTACCTTCGACGCAGGGGAAGAACGTATTCATGTGGTCTCCCGGACGCGGCCGGCAGGTGATAACTTTAAGATTTTGGGTGCTCTCTTCGGTCCCATGTGTGTTATGTGCGATGCGGTAGAGAGCTGCATACCTGCTGCTTCGTGGAGAGCTTATTCACTCATTCGCACCCGCCGTTTCTATTGGGACGCGGAACTTGTGAATTTGTACGAATCCCACGTATTGTTATACCTTGAACATCGCACGTCTGCCATCTATCATCCTTCCTCGTCAGTCCTTGCTCCTCTCAGTTCTCTTCAAACACAGTTTCCGTGTTCTTTGGGTGTTTCCCCTCTCGATGCCCTGGGGAATTGCAATCTCGCGCCACTCAGCGCGCGCAGAGACATCAGCATCCTGGGTGTGATTCGCCGCGCTGTCTTGCTCTGGTCTGGCGTGTTTCTCGGGTTTTTTCCGTCTTGACTCTTCTCCTCTCCTCGTTCATCCCGTGTTGCCGCCGTTCTAAAGCCCAGACTACCAGTTGCACTCAGCCTTTGGAGCCGCGAGGGTATACACTATGCTGCCTGACTCTGTCATTCGCGCCAGGTCTGTGCCTTTTTTTCAACGGCGGCTCCAGCTGCTGGTGCGTTGCAGAACTAGTGCTTTCCCAGAGTGGGACCAGACTCTGTCCCCCTGGCCCCCTCTTGCGTCTCACCCACTACGGCCATTCAAGGACTGGCGGCCGCGCTCTTGAGTTTGGTGTCTGGATGGCACGATGTGAGTCGTTCTCCTTCCTCCCTCTCCTTCTCCCCCTGTTTTCCTCCTCCCTCCCTCCTCCCTCCCTCCCTCCCCCCCCTCCCGCGTGCTGCTGCTGTGGTGTCCCGCCGTCGCTGTCGTTCGTCGTCTTCGCGCCTGCTGTTCGTCTGTCGTCCCCGCTCCTCCTCGCCCGCCCCCCCCCCCCGGCTCTGAGCTGTTTGGATTGCAGCCGGGGCGCTTTTTAAGCAATGCGCGTTCGGCGCTCCCCTCTCCTTCTCTTCCTTCTCTCCTCCCCCGTCGTCGTCGTCGTCGTCGTCGTCGTCGTCGTCGTCGTCGTCGTCGTCGTCGTCGTCGTCGTCGTCTGCTTGCTTCCTCTCTTCCTCCTCCCTCCCCCTCCTTTCCACCCCCTCTCCTCCCACTCCCTTCTTCCTCCCCTTCCTGTTCCGCGCATTTCCGTGCATTTTGAAGGTTGTCCTGCCGGTGCGTCCGGCCAGAAGACACTTTTTAGTTTTTCCAGACCTTCTGACATTCTACTTATTACCTCAGTCGAGTCTCTTCTCCTTCTTGGTTCCTTCCGCTGCAGATTCGAATGCCCATTACCGCTGTGTGAAGCACAGATGCATCGAGGCGCGTGGTCGATGGTGAGATCGTGCAGATTTGTTGTCGTCGTAAAAAAATCGGCAGCCGATGTCTCCCGCCCGATAAATTTTGATCACCGATTCTACATGCCGATTCGATTCTGGGCTATCGTGCCCCTGGCCAGGGTTTCGGATTGTATCGTGTTCGTAGTCGTCGTGGTGCCGTGTCGTTGCGTCGTGCCTCCCTTTGGCTCTCTTGGCCTGGCCTTCCTGACCTCCCTATCCTTCTCATTGCTTCGGATTGTCTTATTCTCCTGCACGGTACGGCCGTGGCCGTGGTCGTCGGGCTCCTGGCTCTTCCCGTGGTTCCTGGCCATGGTTCATGGAGGGAGCGTCGTTCGACATCGTCCGCCCCCTGGCCAATTCGAACTTCTTGATCTCATGGCACATGGTTCCTGGCCCTTCCGGCCTGGCCAGGTGTCGTCGTCGTCGTCGTCACTCGCGTTCTTGGCCGTGACCTCGTTGACTTCCTTGCCATTGGGCCCCCCCCTTTCCTTTCCCTCGGCGCTCCTTCATGCAGGATCGAGGACATGCGTACCGCTTGTCATGTACATTCGTATTTGTGTTGGTTCGTTGTACTTCTTCTTGCCTCAGCAACGACGTTTCAGTGCATTCTCGTAATGTACGGCTTGCAGCGCTACGGATATTTCAGGCCTGTTGTGTCATTATGTAAGCCTTGTGCGTCCATCGAACAGAGAACTGACAGCTGCCTCATGTGTCATGATGGCCGCTTAAAGCCACTGAGCCGTTTCTAGGATGCAGGTAGAAGTCTGGGGCTCAGACGTACACACCGTGACACACCACCGTCACTGTGCCCCTCCTCCAGGGAAGCTGGAGGGGGAGGTGAGCGCTGATGGATGCATTGGAAGCTTCGTTTGGGAAGGATTATGAGGCATATAGTTAAGATCTTACTGACTTTGATGTGTGATTTTGCGAATCCTACCCTGGGTGGGTTTCAGACACCCCCCGTGGGGTTCGGTTGCTTGAAGTCATTCTTCGAATCTAGAACCCCCGCCAATTTTTCAGAAACGGGACCTGCAGGGGTATGGTTCACATGGGGCTCGTCCTCTCCCACCATGGCATCAATGCATCAGTTCACCATGCCGCCAATCGGTACTTCATGGGGCCCAGGGCTTCCCTGCGGCCCCTCGGCCATTGAAGACGGCCTAAGGTATGTATCCACATCGGTATAGGTTCATATAAGAGGTCCGATGCACTTTTGGTATCCCTGTCTGCCCAGATCTATTCCCGTTTGCCGCCGTGGCCGCCTGACGATCTTAGGTTTTAAGCTCCCAGGTTCCAGGTTTGCTCACTTGTATGGCGCAAGTGGCTAAAGCAAGTCTGTCTTGGTTTCGAAAGTGCCGCGCCCTGGGCCATCTTCGGTGCTGCCGCCGAGCGTCTCTCTGCGCGGGAGGGCGCGGGTGCAAGTGCATCTCTGCACCATATTACTAAGAAGAGGCTCTTGGGAACTTCAGGGTCACGCAAGCTACGCGGGCAATTGACCTGTTGGCTGCATCCAAGGTTTACATTTCACTTCTTCCCCCTTCCGTTCGTCCATCCCTCCTCCTCCTTCCTCCCTCGCTCTCCTCCCTTCATCCTTCGTGGAACGGCGGGGGGCGCTGGTCCCGCGCAGAAAGCCAAGGGGAATGCCGCAGAGGCTCGCGGTCGCAATGTAGCCCAATGTTAGCTCACTTTTAGCCCGCTTCCAGCCAACTTCTAGCCCACCTTTTTTAGCCTTTCTTGAGTAGCCCATTTTAAGACAACTTTTAGCCCGCTGCTAGCGCCCCGAAGACCCGATGGGAATACGAAAAATACGACCCGGAATACAGCCGTGGTGGCGGCATCACATAATCAATAGACAAACTTTAGAAAACCGAGACTGACCTGACACAGGGAACCGTCGACTGGGTTTACGAATTAGCAGGACGAGGATTCGACGGAGCTCCGGCGGAGCATTTTAGCTTCTTTTGAGTCCATATTCAGCTCAATTTTATGGTTCATTATGCCCACTAGCCCAATTTTCGGTTATTTTAAGACCACTTCTAGACCATTTGTAAGGGCCACTTGTAGCCGACTTTTAGCGCACTTTTAGCCTAAATGCAGCCCTATCGTTGGCCGTCTGGTCGGAGACGTCGCGAGGCGAGTGCGATGCACGAGGGCGAGGAAGGGAAGCACTGGGAGCAGGGGTGCAGGGGGGGATGATGATGATGATGATGATGATGATGATGATGATGATGATGATGATGATGATGATGATGCTTATGATGATGATGATGATGATGATGATGGTGATGATGGTGATGATGGTGGTGGTGGTGATGATAATGCTGATGATGATGCTGATGATGATGAGGATGAGGATGATGATGCTGATGATGATAATGCTGATGATGTTGATGATATTGACGATGAGGAGGACGAGGAGGAAGAGGAGGATGATGCTGACGATGATTATGCTGCTGCTGCTGATGATGATCATGATGACGATGCTGCTGATGATGATGGTGATGAGGCTGATGCTGATAATGCTGCCAATGATGAGGATGATGACGAGGATGATGATGAGGATGATTATGAAGATGATGATGATGATGATGACGATGATGATGATGATGATGATGATGATTATGATGATGATGATGATGATGATGATGATGATGATGATGATGACGATGATAATGATGATGGTGATGCTGATGATGATGGTGCTGATGAGGATGATGATGATGATGATGGTGCTGATGATGATGCTGATGATGATGATGATGGTGCTGATGATGATAATGATGATTATGCTGATGATTATGCTTATGATGATGCTG